AATATTACTTAAATACTTAATATTACTCAGGTGAATAAGATGCCACGTTGGGATTCGAACCTACGACCTGGTATTCCAAAGGCCGTAGGTTCGAATCCCACCGTGGCCAGGCATATTTTTCAAGCCTGCCCGGTGTGGATAATGGATATACACTCAGAGTAACATCGCACAGCATATTTGTAAATACTTAAGGTGGTTTCTCGGAGTTTGGTGTCATTTTGCTTTTCTAATTTTTTTCAAAGCGAAGTTATAAAAGTGTGGAAAATCCAGGGAATTAGATTTCTAATATATAATTCTGTCTTCTTCAAATATTCTAAAGGGAACATTTTCATTATTGGTAATTGGAAGAAATCCAGTTTTAGCCAAAAAATTTAGTTATGCCATTGGACTATCATCAATTCTTTTTTCAAATCACGATACAATGCCATTTGAAGACAGCATTAGAATTTCCAGAGGTCCATATCCAATACCAGTTCATCGGATGTGAGTTTAACGGCCATTGTGTTTGTGTGTGGCAGTTACGGATGCAGCGGATATCGTATCCGGCCAGATAGAAAGATCAACCTATTATCCGGCATCCGGTCGCCCTGATACCGGATATTGTTTATCAGTAAGGTTCAGGCTTTCTTTTCGGATTAAAAATGATGCAATAAAGTTCCCAAAGTACGAGTATTTTTCATATATTCATCATAAGTAGCACCATGATATGAGGGAAATTAGTGATTAAATGTCCCCGAAAGCCGAGGGAGGTGGTTTGCAATACCATGATTTCTGTTTACACTAAAAAACGGACACACATACTGTACTTGCAATCAACGAATTTAAGCTAAAACGTTTGCTTAATTCTTTGATTATGGGATGAAAATCGATTTGCACATGCACACTGCCCGTGCCCTGTTTGGGAGAAAGAAAGAAATTAAAGAAAGAAAGAAAGAAAGAAAGAAAGGAGAAAAGGAAGGAAGGAAGGAAGGAAGGAAAGAAAGGAAGAAAAGATGGCGCACGACATCTTCGTCATTGCCCAGATACGTATTTATATAGTCGAAAGCTATCCTGAACTTTTTAATTTGGACGTAGTCGTCTTTCGTGTGAAATTTAACAATATCGCATCAAATCATTTTGGAATCTGAAGCGCTCGGAAAAATGGGTGGTGCCCCCCCCCCCAAGCTATGCTTACAAAAATTGAAATAATATATTCTGTAAAACACTTTAGTGTTTTGAAAACTTAAAAGTAGTGTATACTATTCAAGTAGCCGATGAGTATATATGCATGAATAATTAACAAGCAGTGAGTCAATACAACGGTACTTAGGCCTGTTTTATATATACGTCCAATTTTGGTCGCGTCGAATGCAATTCAAACATTAGATAATGAAGCTTAATGAGGTTTATCATCTCATTATCTATTGTCTTAATTGCATTCGACGCGACAAAAACTCGACGTATAAAACAGGCCTTACTATGTTTAAAGAAAATTAATTCGACAGTGCGTGTTCTCGCATCTGCTTAAATTATCTGCCGTAGTTGAAGACGTTAATTATGAAGGCCCTGCTTTTGAACTACCGATTTTCCTTCTCGAACACATACTGACAATGTGATGCATAGGTACCTCATGCACAACTGTCCCAGTCATGCAAGTGATTAATTAAAACATTGCAAAACTATGTAACTATGTTTGACATCAGGATTGAACAGTTAAAGAACTCAGAGCGTGCAAATTGAATCCTTTAGCACATGAGGAAAATGCTTATCTGAGGTTCCTGAGGGCATAGTTCTGCATTTCCCCATGCACGATTGTTCCACTTTTACGGCAAATTTGCTTAGTATACTATTACTTAACATGAACTGATACTAATAATCTTTCAGTTTTAATGTAAGCTGATTAAAGTAGGAGACAAATTGACGGCACGACAATAAAATTCGACCGTTCCCTCTGTTCACGTGATTCATTAATTTGTACCGCTAGCTGTGCGCGTACTTTACTCGTTTTCACAAAACCCCTTTGATTACAACGGTGAATAGGCAGCTTCAATTAGGTTTGGAATTCGTTTAAAGTTTGGCGTATGTGAACGGGAAGGGAAAAATTTAACTCGAACAGGATTTGAACGATGCCATACCAAGCGAATTTCATGATGCGATATAAACGATCGCATCATGAAATTCGGAAGGCGCATACTCCAAGTCACCATTCCTACGATTTATCTTTAACCTTTCTTCTTACGATGGCACAGTGTTCAAACTAACACTCTATTCAGATTCACCGTAATGTCATGTCTCCCTAGTTTCGGAACAAATTTCCGACAAGTATTTCTGAATCAAAGTCAACTACTATTATATGGAAACTTGTTACTTATGTTGTGCAATAGAGACGGCGGAGAGAATTAATATTCAAAAACGCCTTTCCGAATGAATTTTAGTAAATATTATAGCAATCGAGTAAGAAGCATTTTTTAAATTATCGTTCCGAACACGTTATACGATAGGACAACAGCACACGCGTACGCAATTCTCTCTAAATAGCCTATACTTCGTATAGTTGGGAATAATTAACCCGCCGCGACCACAACTGATTTTCGTGCACTATTTTATCATAGCTAGACTATAACAATAAAGAAAAAATTTAAAAATGCAACATCGTCCTTTATTTCGATAATATTTTCTTTTGAGTTTTGTTTTAGTATAACGAAATACTTTTATGTCACAATAGAGTGTGGAAAATTTGAACCACCGTACGAAATAAAGAGATATTAGACGGATATTTTTTAACAACGTTGGCAATAGATATACATAACGTTGTATACAACACGCGCATTGCGCACTGGCGTGTGATTGCGTGGACAACTCGGCACGTCAGGTTGTAGGAATAGTCACGCGGGTTTGTTCATGTGTTAGTGGTTTGATGAAGACTAGAATGTCGAACCTCCTTAAGCCGCAAGGAATACTGTTAAATTAAGCCCAAGATGATATTTTCTCAGGACTTAACTTATAGATAATATTTTCGCAATGGCCTAATGGTTTAACAAGAATAGATCCATCATATTCCTCTTCAAAGCATTAAATCCCAGTAGGCGGACCTTTACATGCTATTTTCTAGTAGGTTTGTGTAACATCAGTTCCGCGCACGTGTAATATACGATATTTGAATAAAAAATATTTGACGTCCCTGCAATAATGTACTTCGATACATAAAAAGCATCAACGCTTTCGGTTACAGACTTGCGCGTTTTCTATGGCAAGTTTAGTCACATGACAAGTTTCATTTGCTCGTAGCAGTATATGCATGGTGACCAGTACACACTTGTTCAAAAAGGCCAATTTTCGTACAAGTACATTTAGCAAAGTAATCTGAGCAATTGCATGCGATTGATCCATGTCTATTGTTGTAATATCTAATAATAGCTATCATGGTGGTCAGAAAACTAAAGCTTGTGAATAGAAAATTTGATGCACCTACGCGTAGGCAATTGAAAAATAAAACTTGTCAGATAAAAACTTGTCATAGTTAATTGGAGAACAAGTTTTATGTAAATATATTTATGTACTAAAACGTTGTATAGAGCGGATAACTGTGTATAAAGCAGCACATTTTACAGTAACAAATACTTTTAAAATGATCATCACAATCAAAAATATTAAACAAAACATTAAGAACCCAAACTAAGTTATCATTGGTCTAAAGGCTTACAATATGCGTAGTTGTCAGAGCAAGTGCCTTTCACCTCTGTGATTGTGGGTTCGCAACCCCACGAGATTGGTGGGTTCGATTCCCATGGACTCATGTGAAAATAGTCTGTCAACGCTCTGCCGAAAGTCGTGGGTTTTCTGAGGGCACTCCGGTTTCCTACCACAGGGAAAGTTGACAGAGTGAGTTAGGATAAACACATACAGTTAGGAAAGTAATATCTCAATAGTTGTAAAGATAAATAGTCTACACGGCAAAAAACGCCGAGCCCGTTGCTCACTTGCTCAACAGGACTGAACAATGTTTTGCTGCCCACGTTGTGCACACTTGTCAACAATATTGAACAACGTTGTTGAGCCTGAATCGGGTGTAACAATATTGTTCAATCGGGTTCAACAATATTGTTGACAGCTATGAACAATGTAGGCGAGCTCTGATGAGAAGTATGATTCGGGCAAGAAATTAATCATTGATCAAGAGAAATATACTGATAATGTTGTGAAATATTTAACAGTAAGTGATAAAGGCAAATTCAAATGGAATGGTCCCTTCCAAAGCCTAAAAATGTTGATGACCGAATTGACAAAGAACGAATCAAAATGGTCGGCATCAGGTGGTTATTGTAAATTGCTCGAACTAGACGACTTAGCTATAAGATGGTATGCAGACAGTAAGTCGCTTACAGTAAATGGGAAGTTGAGCGACGATATTAAATCCGAGCTTCGAAATATTGCCGGCCTAGCACGTCCTGCAGTTGAAGTAACAAGTAATAACTATAAAGAAGCCGAACATGCGGCAATAAATACGGGACGCATGGATGCACCTGATAGTGTAGCTGTAGCTGTGCTTATATTAATGCCGATATGGAGGGTATTAAATTAGACCTTACAATTCTGGAATCGCGGCTGCTTGCTGCATTGTCGGAAAATGAATATGAGTCGGACATTAACTTGCTTAGGGTAAAATTAAAAGAATTGGAAGGCGTTGTGCGGAATCAAGATGAAGTTAATCGCCGAATTATCGAGGAGAATGTATTTTTTAAATCAAAGTTATTATTCCTCTAGAAGCTAGTGCTTAATATGTCCCAAGGCTATCAGAACAAAGGCAGTGGATCAGCTAACCCAATTAGCATTACAGAGGAATCGCCAACGCGTGACAGTGACCAACTTAGTAGCTTGAATAAAAATAGTTTGAGCTCGTCTCGCGGTACTAACGACAGCCTATCTCGTGATGGCGAACTAAGTGCTAATCTAACTGTAAATAATATTGATCTTCAACAATCTATAGTCTCGAATACTATTGATATTGACCCTAGGAATTCGAGCTTTAACGTTGTTGGAACACGCACACCTCAGGAACAAAATCAAATTCCATTACATGTTAGACAACAAGCCACTGAGGTGAATACTAGTAATATCGACCTTAGTAACCTGAGTCAACAACTCAATGACCCGAATACTAATGACATTGACCTAGGGAATATTAATGAGTCGCCTTCAAAGCAAATACTAGTACCGAGTAAACAGAAAAAAGATACTGGTACATTAGTGAATAGAACCTCGAAGCCCCTAAAATCACAACTTGAAAAAGAAGATAATAATACTGGAAAAAGCACTATACCCTGCCCATTTCTTAAGCGTCGAGGGTGGTGCGCAAAGGGAAGGCGTTGCGATTTTAAACATCCACGTGGTGAACAAAAACATTTGGTGCCCTGTCCCTTTTTGCAAAATCGAGGCTATTGCTTAAAGGGTAGCGGGTGTGATTTTTCCCACAGTACCAATCATAACAGAACGGCATCACGGCCTGTTAATAACCATCCCAACCCACCTTTTTTCTCTTACCATCCTTACCATCGTCCTCCTATGGTCCCACATTTAAGAACACACGGAATGAGTGTCAACCGAAGTCCTCAAAGTTACTCCCAGTTTGCTCGGTTTTTTCAACTTTGCCCGAAAACCTTAATGGAAATCCCTGTCCAACCTCCGTTTCCCTTCGCCTTCCGCGAAAGTTATTAACTTTCTTTCTAGCGAACTCTCGATCACTTTTACCTAAGATTGATGAACTGAAAATTATTTTGCATATAAATGAGGTTGGGTTGGCCTTTATAACTGAGACATGGCTAAATGAAAATATTGATGACGGTGCCGTTGAAATTAGTGGCTTTTCCTTAGTTCGGCGTGATAGAATTTCTAGAATCGGGGGTGGCGTTTGTGCTTATATTAAAGACCAGATTCCTTTTAAAATCTTAACAGATTTGCATGAAGACAATTTTGAATCACTTTGGCTTTACCTGAGACCAAATAAACTTTTCCGTGGCTTTTCCTGCCTGATTATCTGTGTGGTCTATCACCCTCCCTCCAATGATAACTGTGCCTTAATCGATCACCTAACATCTAAACTTGACGCTGCTCTTATATTGTACCCCAACGCTGGTATTTTTCTCATTGGAGACTTTAATAAATGCCCAATTTCCTCCCTACTACGTCATTTTACTTTGAAACAGATAGTTAAAGAACCCACAAGAGGAAATTCCACATTGGACTTAATTTTGACAAATATGACTTCCTGTTGTAACTCTCCGGTGTTATTACCCCCTGTCGGCCAAAGTGACCATAATTCCGTACTGTGGTCCTTTAATAAAAATACAGCTAAATATGGTACATCAAAAGTGAAAACTAGACAAGGTAACAATCATGACAGGAGAGCATTCGGTAAGTGGCTAGCTGATATAAACTGGAACAACTTGTACCGCGCTGAATCATGTGAACAAAAGTTAGATTTTTTTCAAACAGTTATAAATACTGGTTTGGACTGTTTTTTCCCTAGTAAAATTGTAAAGTTGCACGATCATGATAAACCATGGGTTACAGTCGGATTTAAGAAAATTATAGAAAATAGACAAAGAGCGTTTCGTCAGGGCAAAAGTCCGCTATATCGTAGATTGAGAAATCTTGCCAATAGAGAAAGTAAGAGACTCAAGTCAACCTTCCTTAAGAAAAAGATGGATGAGTTAAAACTAAACCCCAATGCTAAAAAATGGTGGCAATGTATAAAACAGCTTGCGGGTTTCGCCAAGAACAAAACATTCTCTAATTTCGTTGTAAACAACCAGGTTTTTGCTGGTAAAGAGTTAGCAGATAAAATCAATGATGCTTTTGTCTCATCTACCCAAGATATTCCTCCCTTGAATAAGTCTCCAGTTGATGACCTAATTGAAAATGGCAGTACAAGTATCCTTCCACAGTTTATTATCGAAGAAAAAGATGTATACTGTAAATTGTCCGCCATCCCCGTTTCCAAATCACCCTGGTCCTGACGGAATACCTAATTGGGTGCTTAAATCTTATGCATACGTTCTTTCTTCCCCTGTGGCATCGATTTTCAACGCTTCGATTCAAAATGCAGTTGTACCCTCAATGTGGAAAAAAGCGAACGTTATCCCTGTTCCAAAAAAATCAGTCCCTAAAGACATTTCTAAAGATTTGCGCCCTATCTCACTTACCCCCACTTTATCCAAAATTTGCGAACGGTTTGTTACAGACTGGTTACTTAAGTCAATTGGTGCAAAGATTGATACGCGGCAGTTTGACTCCGTTAAAAATTCCTCGGCTACCCATGCCCTACTGAGCCTGATCCATCACCTCCTGAGTGCTACAGATGCTTCAAGCAATGCGGTGAGAGTATTCTTGCTTGATTTTGAAAAAGCTTTTGATCGAATAGATCACAACATACTGGTGAATAAGCTACAACAAATGAGTGTTTCCCAAACCATTATAAATTGGATTAGAAGTTTTCTCTCTGATCGTAAACAACGAGTCAAATTGGCTAACTGTCATTCGGACTGGCAAACGTGTTAAACGGTGGAGTGCCGCAAGGGTCAGTGTTAGGGCCGGCTTTGTTCCTTGTTATGATAAATGATCTTCTTATTGATTGGAGCGATAGATGGAAGTATGTTGATGACAGTACGTTTGCCGAACGAGTTACATCAACTGAGAGTAGTGAACTACACGATCTAGTGAATGTTATCTATAATTGGTGTGAAGTTAATAATATGAAGCTCAACATCGGCAAATGTAAGGAAATGGTAATTGACTTTGCAAGAGAAAAACATGAGTTTATACCGTTAACTATAAATAACGTTGGTATTGAGCGGGTAAAATCTGCCCGAATTCTTGGTCTCTCAATCCAAGATGATTTGAAATGGAACGAGCATGTGAACCATATTGTTAAAAAAGCGGGAAAACGCCTTTATATGCTAAGGTTGTTAAAACGATCAAATGCCGACAATAGCATTCTAATTTTGGTATACTGCACCATTATCAGACCAGTACTCGAATATGCCTGCCAAGTTTGGCACTTCAATTTTTGCAGAATACCTAAGTGAAGATATCGAAAAACTCCAGAAGCGGGCTCTGCGTATTGTCTTGCCATTCGCTATTTATAGAGAAGCTTGCAGTATTACTGGTATACCCTTACTGAAAGATCG